GCGTATACCCCAGTCTTCAGGTATGTGATGACAGGGATTTCTCTGCTGGTCTTTTAAGTTCTGTTCTGCCAACAGCACTGAGTTCTTTTACAGGCATTTCTTTAAGGTTTTTTCCAGAGATGAAGCTTCCACTAAGGACAATATTGAGAGAGTAGTAATCAGTGTAGTTCCAGGGCACATTGTTCACAGCAGATACATTTACTGAGCTTCTCGCCATGTTCATGGTCCATGCCTCACAAGTGACACTCTTTCAGTTACTTCTGTGACTAAATTCTTATGGTTTGGGTTGGAGGTAAACTAGCTCTACTAAGAATTTTACAATATCCTAAATATTAAAAATTATCATAAAGTTTAAGTATATAATTTATTTTATAAGAAAAAATAAAGGGCATTTAAATCAAAGCTTAAGACACTGAAATAGTTAAAAATCAGTGTAAATCTTAATACTATAGAATGTGTAACAGCGAGGAAGTAACTAATGCAATGTTTATAGTTAGGTTTTTTCATATGCTAAACATTAGAGGAAAAGGTTTGCTCTGACTTCTTAAATGTAAGGAGCAATTCTGCTGGAGAAACAAAATTTAATCTTAAAAGCACTGAAGAGCTGACAGGCAATAATCTAAGAGAAAGCAAGAACCCAAAGAAGTAGGCCATTTTGTTTGATGCTGTATTGAAACTCAGCTGTGGTTTAGGTGACTGTGATGTAAAGGAGAGAGAAGTAAGTCTCAAGCCCTCCAAGACAGGCACCTATAGGTGTGACCTTGTAGAACAATACCACATGGTAAGAGTGAATAAGAAAGAAACCTGCCCTGTAAAGGTAGGGAAGAAGGAAAAGAAAGAACAGGAGAATAGGAAGGAAGAATAGGGAAGGGAAAGAAGGGACAAGTTGTGTGGAGGCAAGCAAGCAGACTCGCACAGATTGGTAGCCAATGTTCACATCCCCAGGATGGGGAAAGTAACTCAGGAAGGGACTTGGAAGTAGTTCTGTCTGGTGGTGGTGGTCCAGGCATCTGGCAGAAGCCACAGAAATCATCTCTGCAGGAAGATACCCTCATTCTAAGCCTCAGGAGACCCCCGCAGGTGATTTTTTAAAGGCAATGATAAGAACAAATAGTTCTGTCTGGTGGTGGTGGTCCAGGCATCTGGCAGAAGCCACAGAAATCATCTCTGCAGAAAGATACCCTCATTCTAAGCCTCAGGAGACCCCCGCAGGTGATTTTTTAAAGGCAATGATAAGAACAAGTCATTATCCAAGCATACGAGAAGACAGGTACCCAGAGTGATCTGCAGCAGAAACAGGCAGTGGAGACTGACCCCAAAGGTTTTTGTGTAGAGATGCTCCTTGACATATGATGGGGTTACACACATCGAAAGTCGAAAATATTGTAAGGCGAAAATGCATTTAATACACCTAACCTACTGCACGTCATAGTTTAGCTTACCCTACCTTAAATGTGCTCAGAACACTTACATTAACCTACAGTTGGCAAAATCATCTAGCACAAAGCCTGTTTTATAATAAAGTGTTTAATATCTTGTGTAATTTATTGAATACTGAACTGAAAATGAAAAAAATGGTTCAAGTAGCAACTTGACGTACAGTTTCTACTGAACACGCATTGCTTTTTCATCGTTGTAAAGTTAGAAAATCATAAATCGAACCATCATAAGTCAAGGACTGTCTGCACTGGAATAATCAAGTAGAGATCAAACAAGTTTACTTTCTGTGTTTAAAGAAAAAAGACAAGCTTTAAAGTAAGTGTCCAGTACAAGAAACTATAAAAAGTTCAATATTCATATTTTTATTTTTTAAATTTTTATTGAGGTATAATAAAATACTGTAAAGTTAAAAACTTTTTAACTTGTAGCGTTCAGTGAAAATATCTGTGTGTATACACACAGGCACATACACACATTTATATATGTGTATACCCTCATGTAACTGCTACCCAGATCCAGATCTAGAGCAAAGTAGAATTGGCAAGCTTTTTTTGTAAAGGGCCAGATAGTAAAAATGTAGGCCTGTGGGCCAACCAGTGAGTATATGAACAGGCATAGCTGTGTTCCAGTAAAACTTTTTTTCAAGAAAACAGGCAGTGGGCAGGGTTTAGCCCATCGGCCACAGTTTGCCAACCCTTAATACAGAACATTTCCAACATTCCAGAAGGCTCCATCATGTCCTTTCCCAGTCAGAGGGGTAACCACTATTCTACCACCATAGTTTAGTTTTGCTTATTAACATTTGTTTTGTATACTTTTATATATGTGTGTTTAATTTCACAGTTTAATAAAAAGTCTTACTTAATCATAGAACTATATTATTTTAGAGACAGAATTTTCCCTTTATCTTTGGATTTCAGCATTTTGACTATGATGTGTCTGGGTGTGGATCTCTTTGCATTTATCCTACTTTGAGTTTGTTGAGCTTCTTGGACATGTACATTAGTATTTTTAATCAAATTTGGGGAAGTTTTCGGCCATTCTTAAAATATTTTTTCTGTCTCTCTTCTCTATCCACTCTTTCTGATACTTCCATATGCATATGTTGGTGTCTCACGTTTCTCTAAGGCTGTTTACTTTTTTTCATTTTTTTCTGTTCTTTAGATTGCATAATGTCTATTGTTCTATCTTCAAGTCCACTGTTTTGTTTTTTTTTTTCTTTTCCCCACTCAGATCTACTAATGTGCCCCTCTAGTGAATTTTTCATTTCAGTTAGTATACTTTTCAACTCCAGAATTCCATTTGATTCTTTTTTATACTTTCTTTTTATTGGTATTCTGTCTGGTGAGTAATTGTTATCATACCTTCCTTTAATTCTTTAAACATGGTTTCCTTTAGTTCATGTAACCTACAATTATATGTTCAGCCAGTGTTTGGTCGGAGGTTCTGCTTAACCACTATGAGCTAATAAGACTTCTGCTCTTTGCCAATAAATCTGTGTGCGGTTGGGAGAATGCTTTCAAGTCTGTTCTGCTTCCCACATTGATGGCTCCTGAGTGGGTACAACCCAGTCAATGCACAGTCTTCTGGACTCCCAGGGATAAGTGAGATTCTAGGCGGGTTCTTCTTGGCTGTCTCTTCCTCTACTTTTCTCTGTTAAACTTCTGGCTGGTCTGCCATTTTGCTTTTAGTATCATGGAGCTACCAGCCCCTCTTAACTACTTGCCACCAAGATCTTTTGTTTTTGAAAATCCCATTAGGCACAGATTTCTCCATTCTTGGTACCAGTATCAGCCCTCTGAGGTAGAGCTACTGAGCCAGCAGTTCTCAGAGGCTGCCTCTCCCTCTGGGGGCTGACAACAGCTTGCTTCTCCTGGAGTGACACCCCTTCTCTGTGAGTGGGTTGGTAGCCCCTGGTCTTCTCAGAATGTCTCTCCAGTGTGGAACCTCTGCCCCATGAGCAGACTGGGGCAAAGGCAATTGGAACCCAAGACTCTCTGCCTGTCACATCTAGGGGGAGAGGGAGCCCTCACTTTCTTGGCTGTACCCAAAGCTTGTCACACAAAGCTGGGAGTGGGGGTAGGATGAGATTGGGCTGCAGCTCAAGTGTCAGAGATTACCACTGTTCTTGCTAAGATTTAGTAGTAGGTTTTCCTGAATAAATGTTTCTCTGTTGTATGCCTATAGGGAAATTTTTAGACTTTAAGTTGTTTGGTTTATATATATGTAATTTTCTTCAGTAGGAAGAGGGTCAGCCAAGGTCTGTGCTCCACCATCCTAAAGTCCCATCCAGCCAGTGCCTTAGCTCTTGGATAAAAGCCATAAAAAAGGGAAAATTACCCAGTGCCATTCTCTTCTTCCAAGTGTCCACTCCCCTCCAACGTCTGCCTGCATCGGATCACGCTCCAGTGTTTTCAAAATTGTAAAAAACATTTTGTCCAGAACTCCATCTCTTGTTATTTGAGGGAAGATTAGTCCAATCAGAGCTACTTACTGGAAGTGCAACTCCCCCTAACCATTAATTTTAGGTAGGGTAATTTAACGTTGAGTAAGTCTGGTGTACGTGTGGTTTTAATGAGGAAGAGGTTAGATATTCCACAATGAAATCTGGAGTGCTTTTACTTTCATATGATGAAGAAGACAGCTATAACGAGAGGTGGAGTTATTCTTTTTAAGCAAAACCTCACATCGACCAGAAGACCCATCTCAGACATGATTAAACATGTCTAACAGGGACTACCACCCAGATTAAGAAGCTGATTTTCACATATGCTCAGCACACATCAGACTTGATATCCACCAGGTTTTTCTGTTGCACAACATATCATTTTATCATACTGTATTGTCTTGGGAAACTAAGGACAATTCACTAATGCTACCATTCTAAAGAGAATGTGCAATGCTCTATCCCATAAATCGGCTCAGTGCCTCCCAGTTTTACACTACGCTATCCAAGATTATTTTATAGATTACTGCCAAAGTAGGAGCTCAGACTATTACTTTACTGCAATGATTCTGTCTCTCTCTGTATCTCTCTCTCTTACTGTCTTTCTTGTCTTTTCAGAAACAACACCGAAGGCTCCCAGCATGCCCTCAATTGTTAGGGTACTGAGAATATCCAGATAAACAAGAGGTCGTCTCTGGCCTCGAGTTGCTTGTGTCTTTTTGCAGCCCTCACTTTATGGAAGAAAAGGCAGGTTGGTGTAAGACCCAGATCCATGGCAATGGGATAGGAAAAGTGACCTGAAAATTGGCTTCACTGTCATTAGCCTCATATAATGCTGCTGCTCATATTCATGTTACTGCATCAAATGCAGAGCATTACCTTTCCAGAGAAAGAAGTTTAGGAAGGGGAAAGAAAGAGAAGGTAGCAAGGAAGAGGCACGGTGCTGACTGAAGGCTTCCTTTAAATTATGGTGTGATGCACTTTGGTTAACACTGCCGCAGCCCATCAGAACTTGCACTTCATATGACGATCACTGGACCCTGTAATAAAGTGTGACTTAGACTCAGAACCTCCATGTGTAGTTGTTTTTTCACACACTGTGACTGGCAAAAGATTTTGTTCTGAACAGCTTTATTGTAAGTCACATCATCTTGCTTTCGGTTTTACATGATAAGAAGTTATAGAGCTGTAAATACCAATTCTTCATTACCTTATATAGTTTGGAAAACTTTCAAGTTCGTGACATGTGTTAATTGCACTTAAAAATTAAATACACAGTGAAAAGAAAGATACATTTATAAAGACATCATTCAAAAGGATTTTTACACTTGGATTTGCCTTACTTGATTACAAAAATTGCAAATCATCTTCCCCTCTAGGGTTTACACGAGGGTTTTCCCCTTCCCCAGGACTGAGCTAGTACAAAGCATGAAAGAGTTTAAACAGCGTGAGTATCGGTGAGAAGCACAAGAGGAAAGTTTCGACGTGGCTGGTGGAAACCAGAGCACAACACTGCCTTGTTGAGAAAGAAAATACATAAATCTGTGTGTGAGATCACAAGCAGGAATGTGCCTGTGTAGACTTCAGATGTCCTTCCCACAGTCAGGGCACAGGATGTCGTCCCTTTCTGTGAGGAAGCCGCGCCCCACCAGTGACAGGGAGCACTTCTTACAGTTAAAGCAGTCGTTGTGCCACTGCCGTTCCTCGAAGGAGATGTACTTTGTGCCACCAAGTCCTGTCAACAGAGAAAAAGAATCCCGCATGAGGAAGGGGAGGGAGTATTAACTGGAGAGAATCAAGCCCCTGGGACTGAAGGAGGCACTCCAGTTTGACGCATTTCAGAGTTTCCATTGTGTGATATGGAGAGCGTGGGTTTCTAGTGGTTTCTAGGTGCTGGGAGTCCATACATAAATCAGACACTACGCACAGCCCGGAGGAGGCCGTAAATATCAGAACAAGTAGATACATGAACCGGCTCCAAGTGATGTGATAAATGCTATAAAAAGTGCCTACAGTGTGTATTTGTTTACTTGTTGATTGTGTTTCCCCACAAAATGAAACTGTGAGAGCAGGGAGTAGGTTTCTTTTATGCCTTCACTGGGTGCCATGTGTCAGGTGCTGAAATACTTTCTGATTTAGTGAATGAGGTGCTAAAGGGAGTGCAGAAGAGGAAAAGGTCAGTTCTCTCTGGGGTGGCCAGGAAAGGCCTCACCAAAGTGGTGCATGGGAGGGGAAGCAGGAAATGGGCCTCCTTGTGGAGGGAGGGTCTTGAGACAGTCTCCAGAGGCACGGACTCAGGAGGAAGAGCTGGTGGAGTGAGAGGCTTAGTGAGGCAGGAGAGGAGTGGTGGGAGCAGATTATGAAAACATGTGGGCAGCAGACAAAGCCATCATATTTTTAAACAAGAGAAGTAGCAATTCATTTCCATTTGATGGTTTGACTAGTGTGTGGTGACTGGTCCCTGTCAAATGCGTAAGGTACCCCGGTCACTGATGACAATATAGTTGGTGTGTACTACAGCTGACCACTCTGAAATCAAATAGAATCCAAGACATGGGCCTGCCTCAGAGCTGTAATTGATTCTAGTGAAATTTGGACCATGAATTACAATTACAAAGAGTTCTTTCAGAAATAATGGTTCTATCAATTCTAACAAAAACCGAGCAACTACCACTGACTACCCCATTTCTAAGAACTCACACTTACATAAGGAATCTGTAATTCACCAGATCCTACCGTAACTTAATTGTCTAGGCTGACGTTGGGCATTACATCCTTTTGCACGGGGGAGACCTTAGACTTCATCCTCCTCAGCAAGTTAGTCACAGAGTGGCAACTTGGACCGTGGTCTTGGAATGCAGGTTCCTATGCCCTTCCTAATACACTAGTTCTGCTACTGATGGAGTAGGTATAGCAAAGCTTTTCAAATCTCTTTTCCTAAAAAGAGCTTCAAGAAAAAGAGTTGCACTGAATAACCAATGTTACCAGAATATTGGTTGCCTTTATTAATCCTAGACTCATAAGGGCTCTAAAAGACCTACAGATCACACAGCCCATGCCCTAGCCCTGCAGCACAACCCAACCGGTGGCTCAGGCCAGTGGTTCTGACCTTTGCATATCTGAATCATCCAGGAACTTATAAAAATTACAACTCCCAGGTCACAGCGCCTAGCAATGAAATCATGACCCAGGTGTTACCAATGTGCAGGCGAATTTTAAAACCAGTGTTTTAGGTGATAGTTTAACTCAATGTAAGGGTAGGGGCTATGGAAGAGTTGGAGGGTGGGGGGTTTTCTTCTCAGTGTATTGATCATTCTGAGTTATCTTCAAAGACCAGAAGAAGCTGCTAGGATGCCCTGGCACTTCTACCATTCCATGTTTCTCCTTTCTGTCACCTCTGCTAAGTTCTACCACACTGTAGAGCTGGGGGTAAGGGGAGCACTAGTGGGGGATAGAGAAGGATGTTAGTGACAGGAGCCATGCAGGGCAGATGTCTCAGTCTTTTAGAATCTCCACTGTTGCCCTAAAATGCCAGCAAATGGGGCAAGTGACAGAAATGAGAGCCAAAGGCAGCCCAAGGGGGACAAATCTTCCTAATGGGGAGAGGTGTGTACAGTCAATTGTGGTGGTTTGCAATAGTTATGTTGCGAAATGTCTCTGTGAACTCTGAATTTGCAAATACCAAACTATTGCTTCTAAGAGAAATACAGGGTTAGGTTACTCCGGTCACAACATTTTCATCAACCAATCAATACAAAATGTTGCTTTAGCTTGTGTTTGTTTCTCTTTAAAGACACCTTGCTTAATACATATTGTTGATCCATTAACCTTGAGCTTATGGCCAGCAGCACCACAACTCACACTTGACTGAAGTTCATCTAACATGTCTTTTCTCTTTCTCCTAAAGGCACATCACAGCCTTCTTGTGCTTAGGGACATGAGACAGAATTTTGCTGGAGGTCATTTTAAGCAGCGGAATTGCCCACAAAAAAATCATAAAAATGCAAAAAACGTCTCACTAAAGAGACCGAAAAGGACACTTCAGCATGAGAGCTGAAATAGGAAGGCAGAGGTCACCTTGTCCCGCCTCAGCAGGGAACGTGCACGTGGGTGACTCACGCTGGGCACCGCTCTGGCGTGTCTGTGGAAGCACTGCAAGTGTGGAGCTGGGGCTACCAGTCAATCTCAGTGAGTGGGAGAATTTTCAGACTCAGAGTCTGTGAATGACAAGGATCAACTATACTTATGTATGAGTTAAACATCACAGCAAATAAAAAGTTGGAAAATATAACTTTCAATTTATTTACAAAAATAACTGAAAGTTTGTTAGAGGAAAACTAAGTATCTGCTAGAAACTTAATCTAAACTCTCACATCTTGCACAATTGTTTGGAAATTTGACTAAAAGTACATTTTAGCTGCAATTTTAGAGTTCCCCATACGTTCCTGAACACTAGTCTTTGCTTTTCAGAGAATTAAATCTCTTATTTTAGAGGAAATGTTTTTATTCTGTTTTTCCTAGTGTTTTTCTCCCCAGTGCTACAATGATAACTATAATTAACATCCATATGTAATAGTTTCACATTTAAAAGTGCTTTTTTGTAGATTATATCACATTATAAATATAGCTTAATTTTATAAACATCTACCTCAACAGAAGTTATTGTGAAAACAGCATTAAAGATGGATACATTAGGTCAAAAGATTGCATTTCTCTCCCTAAATGATCCCAGGTGAAATCTGGTATATACATGGCTGGAAATGAGGCAGACCTTCTCTACTTGCCTTTTCTTCTGACATCCCGCCTCCCCTTCCCTCTCTCTCTGCTTCTCTCTCTAGCACTTGGTTTCTTGTTTATTTCAAGGGAGCAGCTTAACAAAGACAGCTTTGGAAGAGTGAGTTCTGCTTCCCTCTAACATCAAGTCATAAACATGAGAAAATATTTGGGAATGTTCTAGAAGAAGGCAGGGCTAAAGGATTTTTATCACAGAGCACAATAGCGTTCACATCTTTGAAAGAAGGACCGCAACACAGATCCAATGGATAAAAGGCACAGAGCACACCAGAATTATGAATGTGAGGCAGGACAGACACAGCTCTCACGCTGGTCAAGGGTTACAGGTGTCCTTCCTTTAGGAAAGGGAGAACCGACAGATGGGACTGTGGAGGCAAACCAGCAAGAAGGGGCAAGGCTGGGGAGAATCCAATGTACCTTTTTGCACTGCACACACTGCAGGGCATGTTGTTTCTCATAGCAAGGCACACAGAAATTCTGGTTATCTTTGGGGATGAAACTCTTGGTTCCAATTGGCTGCTGGCAGCGGTGGCAGATGAAGCAGGTCTCATGCCAGCTGCTGCCCTTGTACTCCATCTTGCGAGTACCTGCCATCAGAGCAGAAGAAAAGAGCGGATTAGTGCAAGACTGGCTCGGAGACCCAGCAGCCTGCCTCCAGACCAGCCTCCAGGGCAGCTCCCATCAGCTCTTGAAGGCTCGCTTCTAATGGGGACAATCCCTGTGTTGTGGAGGGCAGGGACTTTGTCTTTTGGTTCATTGTGATACACCCCAGCTCCTAGAATGGTACGTGTACACAGTAGGTACTTAATATTTATTTCATATGATGGTCAGGAATGTTAAGTGAAAAAAATGTCTTTCTCGGCGTTGCAAAATATAAAGAGAAATGTGGCATAGCTCAGACTAACCCCTATGGAGTATGGATTTTGGAACAGAGGGATGACATTCTCCCGTTCACACCAACGAGTAAACACTCCTCTGGCTCACAGTGGGACAGAGATTGCTGGGGTGTGAATGCACCTGCACCTCGAGGCCGGTTCCGTGAGGAGCCTCTACAACACTTTAGCATCTGACCGTGTGCACCAAGCTGAGATGTATCTTAGTTGTCTACACGCTGTGCTAAGTACTATAAGTAAAATCTACAAGTATTACTTGTGCTTCCCATTTAATAATTTTCTGATCTTATCTTGTGCCATCTCATTTTCTTCTGAGTTACCATTATCATTTGATAGGTCTCTATCATCTCTCCAAGTAAATCGGGAAGTCCTAGAGAACTGAAACACTTTTTGGCTCCCCCTGTCGCCACCACCAAGCTTGCTTCACAGCAGATGGCCAGTATTTGTTGCCTGATTTTTTCCCATATTTTACCAAAAAAAAAAAAGTATATTTATAGAAAAGAGATGATTCAAGACAGAGTTGAATGCAAGCACACTTTGTATAAAGCATAGTAAAGAAAGATTTGGGGAAGAGGAATATAATGGCTTAAGAAATAGAAAAGTGTTCCAAATACACGGGCCAGTTCAGGAGCCAGTTTACTGGTAAAGCCCATGGCCACGTCCCGACTGCTGCCTGTTTGTGAAGTCTCACCGGAAGGCCACCACACCCGTTCATTTACGTCCACTGTCTACGACTGCTTTCATGCTGCAACAGCAGAAGAGTTGTGTAGCTGTGTAGTTGTGTACAGTTATGCGGAATAGTTGGGTAGTTGTAGTCATTGAGTAGTTGTGACAGTGGTCTAAAAAGCCCAAAATATTTATCTGGTTTTTTGACGGAAAAATTTTGCCAACACCTGGGGTCACTTAGAGGATGGGAACTGTGGCAGGAGAGGCACATCTGTCAGACTTCCACCCAGGGTCAGGGAATAGGTGGAGGCACGCTGAGACGACACAGGAGCATACCGGAGTCTATAAACTAGTCTTGAGCTCTAAGTCCAAAAATAATAGCTTGCAAATTGCATTTTAGCTGGTTGGAAGGTTGTCAGGAGATGTTTGTGTCTCAAGTAATCAGGAATGCGCTGAGATTTATTAGTTGATTATTTTGTTAGCTATCATTTTGAGGTCACTTTCTTAGCTTCCTGTACTTCCAAGGCCAAGCATTCGGGCTCCACCTTCCACAGATTATATAAAATATGCAGGGCGTGGGCGGGGCAGCATTAAAGGAAATTGGGGATGATGATATACATCTATGGAATTCAGTTGTGGGGTGATCAATCTTGAAACAAAAATTACACTAAGCAATTGGAGTTCAGGTAAAAACGGTGGAAGGACTTGAGTACATTTTAGAATGATTTTCTTGGGCCTCCAGGGGTTTCTATTCCCATGTATACCTTTGTCACTTGCTTTTTAAATCTCTGACCTTCACTCTGATCATGCAGCCCAGAAACCAAAGAATACTGGGCAATTATGACTCTCACTAAAGACCTCAGGCAAGACCACGCAGTGCATTCCTGGAGTGTTCTGAAGTCAGTCTTATGTCAACACCAGTGCACGGGGAGCTGCACCTGCAGGGAATGCACGCGCACCTGGAGCCCAGCGAGGGGCGCGCACCCCTGAGGCGCAGCGGGTTGCCGTGGCCGCGGGCCTGTGTAGTTGTTCTGCACCACGGCCAGCAGGTGGCAGGAGAGCGCCTTCCGAGCAGAACCGGGCGCTGGGAACAGCGTCCCAAAGACGGGAGGCACGATCCTGAGGAAGGGGGTCTCGATCGACGCATAGGGGCAAGTGAGGAACCAGACACTGTGCAGGATCGCAGCCAGCGTCCCTCCCTGAGCCTGCTGGGAGTCTGCGGTGCATCTGCGAGAAACTTCCGTCCGTGGGGGCTCAGCATTTGATTGACAAGAACTGGCGAGCCCAGCCCTGGGGTTTCTGGGGCGATTCTAGTTTCCTGACTAGTCATCGAGGAATGCGCTTGTGGGGGTGAGGGGCCGGCGGGTGAGGTTCTCACTTGGGACATGACTCTTGTCCTATAAACCTAAATCCACCACAGAAGCGCCACTGATGCTCTTGCCACTATTGGTTGTAGCTCTTTTAAAAATCAAACCAAAGCAAGCGTTATTACTTAGTTTTTACTTTTTTTTTAGTTTTTTTTTTTTTTTTTTTTTTTTTTTTTTTTTTTTCTTTTTTGCACACCCTGGGATTCTTCTAGACGTCCTGCCTTTGATGTCCAGTCCATTTCTTCTGGCAGAGGCATCTGTAAAATGGGGATAAAACCGCCCAACCCAGGGGACATTGTGAAGATTAAATTGAATTGTGTAAAGCAGCACAGCGCCCAGCACATTGTGTCTGCTCAGCAGATGGCAGTTGTGGCTCGGTTATTATGTCTATACAACATTCCCTACCTTGGAGCCTGAAATTTAGAGCTTTGCACACCCCAGCTTTTCTTATTCCTTAATAGAAGAGGCTAAGGACCAGTTAATTCTCAAATATTCAGTACAGTTTACCTCAGAAGAGCTGAAGTGTTCAATTTTTATTTGTCATCTTATCACAGATTTTTTTCTGTCGCCAGTGAACACCATGAGAAACGGAAAGTGTGATGGTTATTTTATGTGTCACCTTGGCTAGGCTATGGTACCCAGTTGTTTGGCCGAAAACCAGTCTAGATGCTGTTGTTGTTTTAGATGTGATTAGCATTACAAGCAGTGGACTTTGAGTAAAGCAGATCGCCCCCATAACAGCTGAAGGCCTTAGCAGCAAAGACAAGGGTTTACCCAAGGAGAAGGTATTCTTCTCAAGGCCATGACAGAGAACCCTGCCTGGTGGCAAGCCTGCTGCCCCATGGAATTCAGATGCTACCATTGGGCGCTGCAGTGTCAACTCCTACCTGAGATTCCAATAAACCTCTCTCCACACACACACACACACACACACACACACACACACACACACACGCATATCTCCTGTTGATTCTGTTTCTCTGAAGAACCTAACACAGGTGGAAAATTCAAAGATCCAGGAAATAGTTTATTTCTTAGACCATGGTGGGTGCTAAAGATTAAAGTCTTATGCAGGCCCTGGACTGAGATTTCAAAATAATTTCAAAGAATCACTGTCAGACAAATTTCTGAGGTGTCTCTTAAGGTTAATTAAGCTTAAAATTGTGAATGCTTTTACAATTTGGTGATGTAAGGTTTAACTGCATTCTCACTAAAGGTGCCTCTGAGGGGGGCAGCCGTCCTTACCACCTGCAAGTCCATTCTCAGTAAATGAACGCTCAGCTCCCTTTCGGGCCCCCTCTGCAGAGACTGGGTCTGCATCCCACCTCCACCCCCAAGACCCCTAGCACGGTCCAGGCCTTCGGCTGCGGCAGCGCGTGGAGCTGCGCCGTGGACACAGGAAGGAGGATTTCAAGAAGTTGCTGTGAGTCACACGAACACTAGTGAGGATTTCGCACATTTCTCAATGTCGTGGGTCCTACCGCTGCGTCTGTGCACGCGGGTCGCCCTGGCCGGCTGTGGTGCTCAGTCTGGCATTTCTGTTCCTGGTCACAGTATGCCCAGTTATTTTCAAGTTGTATTGACCAGAGAAACATAGTAGCAATAAGAAACCGTCTTATTTAGGGCCTAATTATCCCCTGGCCTTTTTAAAAAATAGTACTTCTTATCCAATATATTCCCCAAATACTTCCCATGTGTCAGTCTCTTGCTCAAAACGCTTCAGTATCTCTTCATTGCCGAAAACAAAGCAAACCAAAAATAAAACAGAAAACTCTGTCACTTGGCAGAATCTTCCACTACAGAGACAGAGTTTGACTCTTGAGTTTATCTCCTGAGCCTTAATTCTCTTCCCGTGCCAACAGGAATCCAGCCACTCAGTCCACATTGGTTTTAAAAATTAATATTCAGGGGTGGGCTGGCTGGCTTAGTCAGTGTGTGGCCCTGATAGCACTGAGGTCCGGGGTTCCATCCCTGTACCAGCCAGCCACCAAAAAATAAATAAATAAATAATAAAAAAATTGGCACTCAATCTATTGAAGCTACAAACTCAAAATCCTCAACTTAATCTTCTTACATGTCTTATAATTGCATTCATTAATATAATGAATTTAAAAAATCACTTTCAAGGGAACTTGAGTGTGTTTGGTTCTATTTGTCAATGTAGCAAACTGAACTCCTTTCAAACTACATTTTAAATTTATATGATAACCCTTCTAAGGACTTCAACTAACAAACCTCAAATTCTTAAGTCATTGTTGACATAAATTAAATGTACAGATACAATGAATCATGAAATATCTTAAATGTAAAAATAGTTTATAAGAAAATTTCAATTTGAAATCCAAGCCAAAATCACTTTAAAATAGCATACTTTAAAATCAGAATCAAGGGCCAGCCCGGTGGCGCACTGGAGAGTGCCCTCCTTGGGAGCGCGGTAGCGCTCCTGCCGAGGGTTTGGATCCCATGTGGAAACCGGTTCCCGCTCACTGGCTGAGCGCAGTGCTGGCGCAACACCGAGGGTTGCGATCCCGTTGCCAGTCCCCGGTACGGGCACGACACTGAGGGTTGCGATCCCGTTACCGGTCAGTAAAAAAAAAAGACAAAAAGGAGAAAAAAAAAAATCAGAATCAAAAGGTTAATTTACTCTTTAAGAGGTTTCGTTAAACTTCACACATACTTTATCACATTTAATATAATTTTATTACTGTGGGTTAGATGGTCTTAATATGTCTGACCCTAATTCTAAACCTTCCTAGAATTAAAGGATGCTTACCCAGTACTAAAGCAGGTTTTGTTTTGAGGACAGATACCTCCCCAAGCAATTTGAGGCACGTACCGCTCAGATGTCTCAGGTTGATCATAGCTAGAGAGCCCCTGGCGTAGCCATTGCCTGGAGTCTCGCCTGGGCCCCCTCCTACCACCAGCGCCTGACTTTACAGTTTCTCTGTCAGTGCCCTCCAGACGGGAGGTCTGAGAGCCCATGTGCCCTAGTTTCAAATTACATTTTCCTACTTGCAGAAGTCTGTGTCCTCAACCAGTCTCTGCCCCGCTTCACTGCATTCAAGCGATCCTTGGACTGCTTCGTCCTGTCCTGCTTCGTCCTGTCATGCTCTCTGTGTGAGGGGCCTCGCCTCTCGTCGGGACGGAGAGCGGCTCTCTCCTGGCTTCGTGCGGCTCTCTAGTAGAGGGCACAGACTAAACGATCCCAAATGGGATACAGACTAACACGTCACCTGAAATCCAGATCTAACTGGGCGTTCTATATTTCTATTTGCTAAACCCGGCAACTCCACCCTCCAGTCATCCTTTCATTGGTCATGCAAAGGACATCACTGATCGTACACGGCCTCTGCGCCAGCCACCATTGATGCCAGTGCCTTTGTCTCCGTCACCCAGGGTCAAAACCTTAGTCTCTACTTGGACTTACACTCCTTTAACCCTCACTTCTAGATGTGACTAACAGGATTTATTTTTTTAATTCTGTATTTTAAAATTCCATATATTTTTGTTCACTCTTTTTTAAAATGAATGATTTCTCTGTCCCACATAAAAACAAAACACCCCTCCCACACACACACGCACACACACGTAAATGAGGGACACAGTCCCATACTTCCCCAGCAACAAATGAGGTGCCTTATTACCATCCTTAGCACGTGGCCAGTGGTGGTTCTGCCCTCTTTGCTGTCTGTCTGTCTAGAACGTCAACTCTGCAAGGGCAGAGGCCTGGCCATGGCTCACAGCCTACAAAGGTCCCACCGTAGCCCACAGCGGGGTACCCAGGGTATCAGGCAGGCTTGCTGGAATAAGGGAGTGGGCACACGTTCAGCAGGTGGAAGGGAAGGAGTGCGGAAGCACATGTGCTGGTGGAAAGGCCACCCATGCACTGCACGAAGATGCCATTCCTCCTAGTGGTCTAACCTGCCATGTCCCTTTTGCCTACCTGCTCTAAATACTTCCCTGTAGTTCAAGGGACAGAACCGGGGAGCCAACCCAAGGGTCTGGAACCAGGTCAATGCAGACAGTGGGATAGGGGAACTCTCACACCAAGGCCTGAAGCTAGACTGGCTCGGTGTCGCGGGGGAGAAAGGAGCGTGTCCTGACCTGGCATGATGGTCTTCTTGCATTCCTGGCACTTGGACGAGTACTCGTTGGAATAGCAGTCCGTACAGAGCAGCTGGTCCTCCTTGGCAGCAAAGGGTTTGTCCACCAGCGAGCTCTTGCACTGCGAGCAGTGGAAGCAGGCCTCATGCCAGTGCCGGTCCTTGTAGGACAAGTCCTGTGGGGCCAGACCACACAAGACAGTCAGAGGTGGGACAGGGGCTGGAGTGCCACCGCGTGACCTGCAGCACGGGACATGGAGTAATGCCACAGGGCAAACGAGGACCAGGGTGGGCAAGGCCTAGGGCATTCACACTCATGCCTGCCTCACCACCGAAATCAACACGGCTGCTGCCCTTCTCTGACTGCATTTTAGAGCACCGGGTCAGATGTGTGTGTGCACGTGTGTGTGACAGAGAGAAAAAGAAAGAGAGAGAGAGGTGCTGTTGCAAAGCAAATGAATTTCCCCTGCGTACTGCCTATAAGAAAGAGAGACAGAGACCATGGACATGGGCCCGTGCTTCCCCCACCACACTGGGGAGGGGGTGACAACAGACTGCAGGAGTCTTTGGCTGAGGGAGCTCAGCTCCACCACCACAGCAGGAGGAGTGTGGTCCTGGGCACAGCAGAGGAGCCCTGGGGGTCAGGACCTTTAGAGAAGAGCCCTGAGGACAGTGCCCTGGTTTAGCTGGTGGGAAGGGGATCAGGAGAGACTTCTCATGTAGGTGCCGCCAGCTCAGCATGGACGCCCCATGGGTGGCAGTGAGCCAGGCGGAGGGTG